ATTCATACATACATACATACATACATACATACATACATACATACATACATACATACATACATACATACATACATACATACATACATACATACATACATACATACATACATACATACATACATACATACATACATACATACATACATGCATACATACATACACACATGCATACATGCCGCTGCCTTAAGAGCCGCAGACTTTAAAAATTCAAAATATGCGGCTAAAATAGAAAGAAAATAAAATAAAATAGAAAGCAAAATTTTTCAGCCAGTCTGCATTGAGACCTTTGGTCCAACCGATGCTCAGACTCAGAGTTTTCTGAATGAACTCTGTAGCAGGATTGTAGAAGTATCGGGTGACCCATTAGATAAGAGTTATGTAAAGCAATCCTTTTCTATTTTACTTCAAAAATATAATTCTTTCTGTATTTTGGATGGAGCGTTAAAATACCTGTCTGTGCGAAGCGTTTAACATAGATTAAAGCTGAACCCGGATATGATTATTACTTCCCTATAGTTCTAATCAATTATGGGTTCATACATACATACATACATACATACATACATACATACATACATACATACATACATACATACATACATACATACATTTAGTTTTTCTCAACTTTAGTTTTATAATTTTAATTTCACTACTTAATAAAAGATACTTCAAAAAACAACCACAAAGACACATGAAAACAAAGACACATAAAAACAAAGGCACAAAGACACATGAAAATAAAGCCACAAGCAAAAAAATACACAAAGACACATGCAAACAAACACACAAAGACGCAGCAAACAACACAAAAAGTCACATGCAAACAAAAAACACACAGAGAAACACAAAAAAAAACACAAAAAAAACACAAACTCACAAATTGTGAAGCAAGCAAGCGAACATAGCTCAAATATAGACCTACCATTGAACGTACAAACACATACAATTATACACACATACAAACAAACATAAAGATACAAATGGTTGTGCAAACACAGACAAATTAATACAATGTTGCCAACTGTTTGCAAAGTGGTGCCTCTCTGAGGTTGTTGTTTTGTTGTTTTTAATGTTTGTTGTTGCCATTGTTGTATTCTTTAGCTATTGTATTGTTTTTATGTTGTTGATGTCGTCGTTGTTGTGATGTTGTTGTTTTGTTGTAGTTGGTGTTTGGTTGACGTATTCAGGACACGTTGTCTTGAAAGCATGGACGGGTCTGTTTGCACTTGCAGATGAAAGTAGTGGTGGAAAATAACTTGATATCATTATTATTTATATTATTTATATCATCGCTGTTATCGTGAATGGTGATAACATCATTGTTAGCTTCGTTAACATCTTAATTATTACAATAATGTTCATTAGCGTTCACATCAAACTTGTTATTATCGCAATTTAAATCTTCATCATTAATCGTCACCCCAGGGTTCTTTCAGTTAGTAAATTTGACGTCAGTTAAAGTTAGTTATTTAGGATCGCTCAAAGTTAAATTTAAATTTAGCTGTTTAGGTCAAGTTGAAATGACAGTTCATCATTAATCGTCACCCCCAGGGTTCTTTTCTTTGACCTCAGTTAAAGTTAGTTATTTAGGATCGATCAAAGTTAAATTTTAATTTAGCTGTTTAGGTCAAGTTGAAATGACAGTTCATCATTAATCGTCACCCCCAGGGTTCATTCAGTTAGTAAGTTTGACCTCTTTAACTAATGTTAAAGTTAGTTATTTAGGATCGCTCAAAGTAGGATTTAAATTTAGCTGTGTAGATGAAGTTGAAATTAGTTTGATGCTAATTTCAGCTAATGTTAAAGTAATCGTTCGACTTATCAATTTTAGACCAAGTTGTTTTCGTACTGAGTTTTTTACACAATTATTCCTACATCATCTTTTCCTTCATCGTTCTTCTCATCATAATCGCCATCATTATTCATTAATGACAACATGAAATAAAAATAATTTGCTGTTATCGATAACATCAATTTCATCATTATAGTATTGCTATTACGATTAATAGTTTTTTTTAAACAATAATTTTTGATTTAAAAATTATAATTATTATTATTTCTGCTTATTTAAAGACCAACAAGACGCCTTCAAATACATATAGTCTAGTATTAATTGTTACAGTCGATATTTTTCTTTTTAATATGTCGCTATATTTAAGAAAGCTGTAAGAAAGCTTAATTTGTTTTTTTTTAAATTTCGAACAATGCTTTTTATTCATACCGACAAAGAAATTACCAATCAATTTATAATTTAATAATGTAGGATAGCTAAAGTAACAGACATGTTGATAGCGATGACAAATGCATAATTGAAAACAGCAAGACATTTTATTTATCGCCATCTATGAAAATGCAGAAAAATTTTAAAACCGAAAAAATATTTGCATAATACACAAAAATATAAGTTTCAATAAAATTGGGGTTCAGTTGTTAGACGAATGAGAACTAATCTGAGGACAATAAATTTTAGATCGATAATGTTGTTAACACGGCATGTGAAATTCCAACAAATATAATTTAAAAAATGTTTTTATGATGTAAGTGATGAAATTTATCAGTCAGATGATTTTTATTGGAACGAGTAATTGTAATATTAAATATTTTGTTCTTTTATATCTTTTAATGTTACTGCAAGTAGGAGGTGTAAACTTGTGAACTTTGGTGATATTGATAATAACGATCCTGTGCAACAAAGTTATCCAACTCTCAAATTTTGGTTACAATATTTGAACTTATTATCTAACAAATGTACGCAAACTTGTTTTATGGATTCCGTGTGCATTACGCTTTTTAATTTATGTAAAAATACAAAAAATTTTCAGAAATATTATTTAAAAATTTTAACACAAGGTGTTTGGGCACAGAGTTGGTCGTTGAACGAAAATTCAGTGTGCGCCTAAATTTCGTTTTCATTATTCAAAAAAATTTCACACCGTTACTGTTACCTTTTCTATCAAAACAAAAAAGCTCATTACAAATTTTAAACACTTGATAATAATGAAAAACAATTATTTATACAGAAATAAAAATTTTATGAAGGAGGCAAAATTAAACGGCACCATTGGCTTGGCACCACAGGTCATAGCATCAAATTTTAGTTTCAGAAGAGTTATTAATTCAATTTAGGATAGCTAAAATAACAGATATGTTGATAGCGATGAAAAATGCATAATTGAAAACAGCAAGACATTTTATTTATCGCCATCTGTGAAAATGCCAAAAATTTTAAAACCGAAAAAATATTTGCATAATACACAAAAATATAAGTTTCAATAAAATTGGGGTTCAGTTGTTAGACGAATGAGAACTCTTCTTGGGCCGTTTTTGTCAAATGGCATTTCAACTTGATAATGGTACTCGAAGTTTGTTCCAACTGGAGATCTGCACAATGGGCATTGTGTTGTTTGCCTAAACCAGGAGGTTAAACATTTGATGTGAAAGGTGTGTTTGCATTGCAACTCAAGTACAAACAACTTTTCTTCGAATTCCTCTAAACAAACTGAACAAGCATCGCTTGAAAACTTGCCCTTACAAAAGGGGAGTTTATATATTTTGCTATGAGCGTTCGGTGCATAGCTTAACTCGTTATGTTTAATGGTGGCGGTGAAATCTTCGTTTGTGTAAAATGCTTCTCTCTCCACGAATTCCTTTGTAGATGTTAGAAGAAAAAGATGCTCATGGGCCAGTTTCATCATGCCATATTGTTGCTCGCTGCTTAATGCCTGGTACCATATATTTTCACTTTCTGGTGTTAATTCGAACTCAAGTTCGACAAACATTTCAATATTTTTAATGTCCTCAAGAGATATTTGTTGCTCGTTGTTGCCGTTGTATTGGTCCATTAGAGAGTGGGCGAATGTTTTCCTGAACAATGCTTTATCTTCGCTGGCTTGTTTATCCAGGTAGTTTTTAACTACTTCATCAATTTTTTCGTTCATTAAATCCATCTTCTCAAAATATTCGCTCACAATTTGGTCCACTTTTTGTTGGAATAGAGCTTGCCTTTTTAGGTAATCATTTACGGTTCGGTCAATAATTCTCTGAATATATTCTCCCACTATACGATCAACATTTTGTTGAACGAGTGCCTGTTTACTAAAATATTCAAATATAATCTGATCAACTTTTTGCTGATGATACATTCCTTTGTTGTAATGACTCATTTTTTAAATTTTGGAAAGATTTATATAGACAATATTTAAATAAAATTATCACAAATTTATCTACATATAAAATTTTTCACCTTACAAAAGTCCGCAAACTTGTTTGTTTTATTCGTTGGCAAGAAGCGTTTTTATTTATATAGAGTCACAAAAAATTTGAACAAAGTCAGTATAACACAAAGTGAGTTTAACACACGGAGTTTAACACAACAAACGCAAAGTTAATGTGAACACAAAGTGAACTTTATTTATATAGAGACACAAAAAATTTGAACAAAGTCAGTATAACACAAAGTGAGTTTATCACACGGAGTTACCAAACGCAAATTTAATGTGAACACAAAGTGAACTTTAACTTGAAGAATAAAAGAAATAATAAATTTTTCTGACAAATAAATTTTTATTGGTGACAGTTATTTTTGACAGCTCTCTACTAATCTGAGGACAATAAATTTTAGATCGATAATGTTGTTACCACGGCATGTGAGATATAATTTAAAAAATGTTTTTATGATGTAAGTGATGAAATTTATCAGTCAGATGATTTTTATTGGAACGAGTAATTGTAATATTAAATATTTTGTTCTTTTATATCTTTTAATGTTACTGCAAGTAGGAGGTGTAAACTTGTGAACTTTGGTGATATTGATAATAACGATCCTGTGCAACAATGTTATTCAACTCTCAAATTTTGGTTACAATATTTGAACTTATTATCTAACAAATGTACGCAAACTTGTTTTATGGAGTCCGTGTGCATTACGCGTTTTAATTTATGTAAAAATACAAAAAATTTTCAGAAATATTTTTAAACAATTTTAACGCAAGGTGTTTGGGCACAGAGTTGGGCACAAATTCAGTGTGCGCCTAAATCTCGTTTTTATTATTTAAAAAAATTTCACACCGTTACTGTTACCTTTTCTATCAAAACAAAAAAGCTCATTACAAATTTTAAACACTTGATAATAAAGGAAAACAATCATTTATATAGAAATAAAAATTTTATGAAGGAGGCAAAAATATACGGCACCATTGGCTTGGCACCATAGGTCATAGCATCAAATTTTCGTTTCAGAAGAGTTATTAATTCAAACGTTCATGAAATGTTTGAAACTTCGATGTTTTCTGAAGCAGTGACAAGATTTTCCATCAATTGGTACAGATGTCTCTAAAATAAGTTGAATTTTCAACTTTCGCATTATTATTTCACTTATTATCACTACTAATTAAAAAATATTCAAAAAAACACATAAAATCTGTCAATGTAACTTTTTTCCTTAGAAAAACTACATTGTTTTATGTTTTATAAAATACTGAAAAATTAAGTGATTTTATTCAGTTTTATTAGCAATAATTCTTAGTATTAAAAATCATTGTTTACCGCGAAATGTATTCATCCTTTTAAAAATACAACCTTAAAATAATTTTCAGGAAAAAAAATAAAAAAATATAT